TGACAATACGGAAATTGTTTTATGTTTAGTTATTTGTTTTCGAACGATATTAGTGACCTGCTTAAGTTTGCTCTAAATGAGGTTGGTCATTGTTTATTTTCACGTTATTTTGGAAACAGGGATGACAGGGAAATAAAATATTTTATAAGGCCAAATGTCAAGGGGCCAGTCACTGACTGAGAAATAGAAACAGGATAAGCAGAGGCAATCGTAATCACCCCATTATCTATATGCCATAAGAACGTTTTCTCGTAAATTTAACAAGTGTTTTCTTTCGGTGATGAGCTTCTTGGCGTTAGTAATGTAGCAATAAATTCTTTACGGTCTTCACTTTTGTACATGTTTTTTCCCGAAATATCCCTGTACAGCAGTATACTTTGAGTAAGAGAGTTCTTAAAAGCGTTTAACAAATTTATAATTTCTCCGGCATCTTTCGTACAGAAAACGAATTGTATCTTGCTGGAATACTTGTCGAAAGTTATGACTTACCAACAGACAAAATAGAGTATTGCGTGAAGGGCATTCCATTAGATGGTCATCATCGTTTAAATGATTTACCTCTGAAAAATATTTTACATATGTATGTTCTTTGAGACAGTCACTACTCATCGCCTTTGTCTTACGTTTAATCAAGGAAAAAATTTTAAAAAATCGGTTGAACTATTTATTTCCTTAACAATTATTAATAACTTTGCGAGCGAATGGCAAAATAAACTTAGCACTTTTAGAACTACTTCCACCACATTTACATGCTTATAGACTGATTGTGATTATACATATGAAACAAAATGGACTCGCAAATTGAAAATTTTACTCAAATGGTTAATGATGAGGTACTTTCTTTCTTACTTGCATATAGGCAGGAAATTCATCATAAAAAGCGTCTTACTACATGCATAAAAGTCAAAACGTCCGCTCATTTGCAGGTCTGCTTGTGGTTACTTACGACATATTTCCGTCCCTGAAGCGGGTCACGAAGCAGACGCGCTAGATTAGCACAAGGACTAGATCGGGTTCCGGCAGGCGATATCAGTAATGCACACTCGTGACAAATGCCAACGTTTGTGGCGTGGTGGCACGTTCGGTTGTCGGTTCACTTCGCGCCACCCCTATTTGTGTTGGGACATAAAGTACTGATCAGCTTCAGTCGTGGTCGAAGGAGTGGGGTGGCGCACCTAATTGCGGTTTCACGTCATGCCAGCCATCTGCGGGCTCTCCCTCCTCCGGTCCTTTTGACTTAGTCATGACGCCTGTCTCAGGCGTAGGTGGAGAAGAGGGCGCGGCAGGTGCAGCGTAAGCCTACTACTTATACTTCACACTAGCTCACGCACATGTCACTGCCACTGCTCTCACCCTGTTGTGGAACGCACAGTGGACACCGTCGGCAGCGGCGGTCCAAATGCCATAGTATGTCTGACGATGAACGGAAATTATTAGCGCATTAAACTAAAGCTTGTCGAAAGCCATTATTACTAAGCAGAAGCGTATAAAGATTTGCAGTCAGTGCTATTTTAGTCAATAAGGTTTGCATATTTTAGAAACAACGCTTCAATTTGCAGCTCACCGCACCTGATATAGATGATCCTTAACTGTAATTTCCATGTTGACCTTTATTTTGGTATATCCCTCTTTTTATGTTAATAGCTTTCAGCGGACGGGCACACAGCTATAGGCAAATGTTGTTTGGGACCGTAATTAATAAAGGAATTTCCCTAATTTTGATCCAACGTTGATTTCCATCCAAAATACAGATAATTTGGTTAGCCCAGTGGCCGCATGGGGCAAAACATATCTGTAAAGCGTCAAACGGATAGACAAAATTCAAGACATCGTGAAGTTTTTCATGCCCAACCCAGATTTGGGGCAACTGTTTTTTGAACCCGCGGTCCTTTGGTTATAAACCTCAGTAAATAGTAAGCTTCATGTATGTGTTGGCTTCGGATCGAGTAAGCGTATAATATATGCGGCGCATGCTTTAATTTTCTGTTTTTCGTCTTGAAAGAGCCACTAGTTTGTGTAATTCGGCATCCTTCCCACCTTGAGCATCTAGATTTCTCTCATTACACCTCATGAGCTAGGTGCGCGCGCAAACACACCAGCAGCTGCTAATTTGCATCCAATGAAGTGGTGTCTTACTGATTCACTATCACATCCCATTGTACGTAGAACCACAACGGAAACTTCCAACTGCCTTTCAACCCTGGCACCTGGCTCAAAGTTACTCTCACCCCACATTCCAAAGCCTCCTATTTGCACACCAACTGGTCAACATGACAAAAATTGCTTCTTGATTAAGGCGTATTCATCAGTAATGAGCGCCACCTGTAGAAAGACGGCCACTATGTTCATGTCAGGATGGCTTCTTGCTGTGGTATGGGCCTGATCTACAACTTGAATATGAAAGAAGAACCAGTCATAAAAATAAAGATCATTATTTGCCGATGGATGCCTTAGGAAACGAATTCCTCCAACTATCTTCTTTTACACACATGTGGTCTGGGTGCTGACGAAACAGGTTTTGACTTACTTCGCAACCTTTTATTATGTCGTCCGTGTGAACAAAAAATTGCAAAATGGGCATGGACATATTCAACTTTGGTGTCTCAATTTTGCGGGAAAGTTAACAAAACGTTGTCTTAAACCTGTCCAAAAATGTTTACTAACTCGTAAAAGAGAAGGTATTTTGCGTTATACCTTTCGCTGAACGTGAGACATTTTGCTGCTAAAAGTTCAATCTTGCATTAAAGTTGCACCTGCTGATTTAGTTAGGAAAAGGAATACTTTTTATATTCGTTCATGCGTCAGGGTGCTTTACGGATGTTTTGGCTTCGGACTGATTAACGCATTACATATGCAGTGCATGCTGCATTTTTTTTGTTTTTACGTCCCAAATAGAGTCGTTGGTCAATGGAACTCTGCATCATTCCCACCTTGCACGTACTCATTCATAACATAATTAAGCCTAGCAGACCTCTATATAATCTGCGCATTTCCGTCGCATAAATAATTCTCCTGAGTGATTTCCCCGGAGGAGGCGTCTGAACTCCAACCCACGGCCATATGGATTTTGTCTGAGATTGAAGACTTCCTCCCCGAGACTGGTAAAATATGTTCTTTTATCATCTACTATTTTCAGAGAGGTCCTTAAGTTTAAACTTTTCCCTTAAAAATAATTCCCCTGGGAGGCATGAAAAATCTGCTGCCGAACTGGGTTCCTTGGGGAATATCGAAAGTCGCAGTTGTGTAACGAGGACCGATTTTTTCAAATATTGTCTTTTCAGAAATTCTTTGGATTCATCACATTTATGGACATGTTAGCTCCATTGGCTTACATACGTATAATCGAAAATGCGTAGGTTTTGTGAATTTGCGGATACGAGAATAAGGAATACCATAAATCACCAGAAGAAGCAGCTACACAGAAGAAAACTCCTCTAAACACCGACTTAAATATACAAATAAGTTTTTTTGCTGTAGAAAACATAATGGGGCTTGCAGAAAATCATTATTTAACTATAAAGGAATAGGACCCCTAACCTGAAATGACATTTTAACTTAGCTCGAGTGTTTGCGGTGCATTTAAGCCTCACTCAATTTAAAAACTACAGCAAAAAGTGCATTCACTGAAGTGTAAACTATTGTCAGGAAAAGGAAAAATGCCACACACAGTGCTATAAAAACTAGTTGTTTAGGTCATGGCAGATTTCCCATGCAGCCAATACTTCAGGATAAACCAAGGATGGCATAGAACCCCATCAAAAAGCAGGAAGTTTTAGATAAAACATGATAATCAATGTCTGGAAAGTGCCTTATGATGATTAATTACTGTTCATGTGGTAGGAATAAATGAAGGTTAAAACGGTCAAGGGGTATTCAGAGAGGAGTCACTAAATCAGTTAGCCGTAAACATTTAACAGCAAAAAATTGGATCTGGTTATCATGTCACTGCCGTTGCAGAAATACAGTAGGCAGACCAACTCACGAAATGTCAATAGAAATTCTAAAATGCGTTTTCGTCCGAAAAAGATTAATTACATATTGTTATAAAATTAACTAACATACAGTACAATCCAACAATATTTCAGCTAACAAAGAATGCCGGCTTTCAAAGGCACTCCTTTTCGGCTGCATGTAAAAACTATACTCCATGAAAATGACTACTTTCGCAGCATGCATTTTTTCAGTGATTTTCTATGACCCCCAAATATTATATTCTATTTCATGGAAAACATGGATAAAAGTATTCATTCTATGTTAGTTTGGTAGGAAAATATGTCTTTAAAAGAAGAGGCGACGTTCATCGGAGGGGTTTATTTGAAGTCCAACGTTTCGAGTAGTTTATTCGTCTACCCATCTTCAGAGACTAGGAAGTCCTGTGCACAGCTCCCCTTATGATGGCAACCTTTGTTCAATGCGTGATCCGACAATGCCGCCTGTGTGGCTGCACCCAACCAGCATGTAACCTTGACTTGAATCGCCCCTGTCGGCCTCGGAGATGGCTGACGGCCCCGATTGTCCCGCGCCGTGACTGTCCTCCGCTAAGAAGTTTCGTAAAGTCAGATAGGGGGAGGCAAATTGATGTGGCGGTTGACAGAGCGGCCGGTGGACATCCAGACTTCTTCCATTTGCCTTGCTGTGTTATTGCCGCCCCGGCCCACAATCTCAACGACGTCAAAGTTGAAGACGTGTCCCATTTGCGCGGCATGGATTGCCTCCTCCGACTTTGGGTCCAACCTTCGCACGGCCAACTTATGCTCGTGCATTCGCGTTTGCAGCTGTCGGCCGGTTTCCCCAACGTAGTTACATCTTCCACAGCAGCATTGAAGTCGGTAGACAACGGCCGGCATCTCCTGCTTGGGGATCGGATGTTTCGGCCACATCACTTGCCGGCGGATTGTTGAGTCAGGCCTGTGGGCGACACCTATTCCGAGTGGCGCGAGTGATCGAGCCACGGCTTCGGAGACCCCTTTAATTTACGATATGCTTCGCTACGAGTTTGACTAACTATACTCTTCGTTCCGCTTCTTTGGCTGCCTCCGGCTCCGTTCAATGAACGCCCGCGGATTGCGGTTGGCTCTGAAGAGTTCTCGGAGGAGCTTTATCTTGTCCAGCTTGGCAGCTGACGTGCTGCAATGAGTTTCCACCCGTCGGTACAGCGTGCGGACACAGCTTCGTTTGTGTTGTAGCGGGTGGTTGCTGTTGTAGTTGCGCATTTGCAGCGTGTTCGTCTGTTTTCTGTAGACCGACGTGGCTAGTTTGCCATTTGGTTGGCGGCAGACGAGAACATCCAGGAACGGGAGTTTGTCCCCTACTTCCTCTTCCAATGTGAACTGTAGATCGGGAATGATTGAGTTTAGTACTTCCTCATAGTAGTTGATTTTAATCTGGTCGGTGAGTACAAAGGTGTCATCAACGTAGCGTGCCCAAAACTTGGGTTTGTACTCCTCGAATTGTCGTCTCTCGAGTTTTTGTAGAACCGCCTCGGCAATGAGCCCGGAGATTGGTGAACCCATTGCAGTGCCCTTGATCTGATCGTATGTGGTCCCTTCGAAGGTAAAGAAGGTCTTGAGGCAGTGTTCCATGAGTTCTATGAGATCCTGAGCTGTGGGCTTGCCATCGTCCCCGTCGTAATTTTGACGTAGCAGCTCACTGAGGGTTTCGATCGCAAGGGCCTGTGGTATGGACGTGAAGAGTGACACGACGTCAAAATACACCATCCTTTCTTTCGGTTCGATCGTGACTGCCCTTATTTTGTTAAGGAATTTTTCTGCTGAGTGTACCGTTGTTTATGATCCTGCATTTAGGAATCGAAACTACTAAAATAGGCAGCTTGCAAGCCCGTATGTGGGTGCGCCTAGCAGTAAGACGATAGGACGGCCGGGAACATCTGGTTTTTGTACTTTTGGGAGACCGTAGAATCTCGCCATAGCGGTTTCTGAGGGCTTTTTTATATGCCAGTCTTTGACGGTGATGACCTTGGCCTTTTTTAGTCGAGTCAGAATTCTGTTAACCTTTGCCACTACGGACTTTAGACTGGCGGCGTCGCTGACCATGTAGGACTCCCGATCGTTGAGGAGCATGAGCGCTTTGTTTCGGTAATCCACCTTGTCAAGGATAACGGTTGACCAGCCCTTGTCGGTGTCCGCTTTTGTTCATCTCTTCGCAGGCAATTGGTCTTCCGGTGCGAAATGAGAAGTGGGAAGACTTCATGTCGAAGGAGGTCCATTACCTCGTCTGTGGCGCCGAGCTCATTGCCGAGGCGGTTCTACAAAAACTCGAGAGACGACAATTCGAGGAGTACAAACCCAAGTTTTGGGCACGCTACGTTGATGACACCTTTGTACTCACCGACCAGATTAAAATCAACTACTATGAGGAAGTACTAAACTCAATCATTCCCGATCTACAGTTCACATTGGAAGAGGAAGTAGGGGACAAACTCCCGTTCCTGGATGTTCTCGTCTGCCGCCAACCAAATGGCAAACTAGCCACGTCGGTCTACAGAAAACAGACGAACACGCTGCAAATGCGCAACTACAACAGCAACCACCCGCTACAACACAAACGAAGCTGTGTCCGCACGCTGTACCGACGGGTGGAAACTCATTGCAGCACGTCAGCTGCCAAGCTGGACAAGATAAAGCTCCTCCGAGAACTCTTCAGAGCCAACCGCAATCCGCGGGCGTTCATTGAACGGAGCCGGAGGCAGCCAAAGAAGCGGAACGAAGAGTATAGTTAGTCAAACTCGTAGCGAAGCATATCGTAAATTAAAGGGGTCTCCGAAGCCGTGGCTCGATCACTCGCGCCACTCGGAATAGGTGTCGCCCACAGGCCTGACTCAACAATCCGCCGGCAAGTGATGTGGCCGAAACATCCGATCCCCAAGCAGGAGATGCCGGCCGTTGTCTACCGACTTCAATGCTGCTGTGGAAGATGTAACTACGTTGGGGAAACCGGCCGACAGCTGCAAACGCGAATGCACGAGCATAAGTTGGCCGTGCGAAGGTTGGACCCAAAGTCGGAGGAGGCAATCCATGCCGCGCAAATGGGACACGTCTTCAACTTTGACGTCGTTGAGATTGTGGGCCGGGGCGGCAATAACACAGCAAGGCAAATGGAAGAAGTCTGGATGTCCACCGGCCGCTCTGTCAACCGCCACATCAATTTGCCTCCCCCTATCTGACTTTACGAAACTTCTTAGCGGAGGACAGTCACGGCGCGGGACAATCGGGGCCGTCAGCCATCTCCGAGGCCGACAGGGGCGATTCAAGTCAAGGTTACATGCTGGTTGGGTGCAGCCACACAGGCGGCATTGTCGGATCACGCATTGAACAAAGGTTGCCATCATAAGGGGAGCTGTGCACAGGACTTCCTAGTCTCTGAAGATGGGTAGACGAATAAACTACTCGAAACGTTGGACTTCAAATAAACCCCTCCGATGAACGCCCGCTCGTCTTTTATTATGCCACTTGGAAATCGCATTTTCACTTCTATTGATGGAAATACGTCTTTGTCCATTTTTATTCACTAAGAGGTATTTTAATTCGGTTTCCTGGAAGTTTTCAATTGCGGGATTATTTGATTCCGTGAGATGGCCGTCTATAAAACTCCATGTTTCTGCATTTAACAATGTGGTTTGTAAAGTTACCAATATGTCTCAAATCCACTGCAAAATTTTGTGAAGCCCATTTGATCTTCTCTCAATACTATAGAGAAATGTATGGTTTTCCGTACGCGAAAAATATACAGTTTGTATATCGAAAACCCAGAATGCAAGTATGACGGCAGGTCGGGTTCAAAATTATTCGGGAATTTGAAAAGTTTTTGAAAACCCAATTATGCCCTTTGCTTCAATATAAAATGAGAAGTAGAGGTCATTTTCTACCGAGTTAGTAAATGCATGAATATTGCTATGCATGTTTTCCATGAAATATAATTGAATTTTTAGGGGCATCGAAAATCAATGGGTAAAGTTTATGCATTTTCGAATTTCGGTTGACATTTTATGAGTTAGCCCACCTACTGTGCGTATCCAACCCGATAGTTAAAAACGAAAGTATGAAAAGAAACAAAACCGCAAGTTTCGGCCACGCTACTATCGTTTTGAAAGTACTCGAGGGACGGAAGAGACATTTACAAGATTACTCGGTGTCAGGAGCGCGAAAACTGCACAGAGTCGAATATTAAAATAAGTTAAAGAATAAAATGATGGAGAGCAACAAATAAAATAAGGGACGCATGAAAGACGCGAAGGTGGAACAGCCGTCCGTCGTGATGCAAGCTGTTAGGTCCACGGGCAGTAACTTCTAAGTGACTAGGTCAAGCTTAGTTAGGAATATATTTTTAAGAGCCAGATTCCCCAAAACCTCCAGCGAGCGTATTTATAGTTGGTTCACGACGCCAACAATGAATAGGGCGTTTATAAGTCTCATTGTCGTTCATTGACTTTGAAAAATTACTTCGTTTACTTTCTGATTTTTTTGACAGTGTCAACCTTGATTCTCACAGGTAAATCAAATTCCATAAATTATATTCCAAGCCACAGTTTAGGCACCTGTGGGGACACCGTATAACGCCGACGCCAGACAAGGAAATAAACTCTCCTTAATTCCCGATAACTGGGCAACCCTTCATCAGGTAGCTTAGGAAACCAGGTCATTAAAAATTATCTTGGTTAAAAAGGTCGTCGGTTTGGTTGAATAGTCAGGCCGGATTGGGTGCAAAACGGTCAACTAAATCATTCCGATGATATGTGCATTACAACGGCTGATTTGAAATCAGTTTTGGCATTCTGTAGCCTCATCACGATATTATCGGGTCCTGACGACCGTAAGGGAAACTTTTTCCAAAGACGCAAAATCCATGCCGCAAAAATGTCTCTTAAAAACTTTACCGCAACCAGGGTGTAGAAAGAAATCTCTGTGTACTTTTTGCACAACTGTCACTGTTGGAGTTTCAGTTGTTCTTTGAGACATCCAAACCCCTTTAAATATCTTTTATTTCGTGGAATGCAGGAAAGATTCAGAATTTTTGTCTCGACTTAATTATCCAACAGAGCTTTTGTAAATAGTGTCACGGGGACAAGGAATCAACGGTCAAGAGATATCATGGAAAGCCCATGAGGGGCTGGCAAAGCCAATAATATGAGCAGATCGATAATTGTTACTCATTTGGGGCTATATATTTCCCATCGTAGTGGGCAGGGCACGAGGAAGTCAAGCAAACTGCACAGTGTTGGCCTCAAGATCAGCCGAATCCGGTGTCAGACGTCAGGCATGCGCGGTGTATGGCCAAGCTGTGGTGCACTGACCAACGAAAATAACGCATAAGTGGTCAGTGCGCTCTGTCTTTGTCAACGAAACGTCCGTGGTATTAACGCATCATCTTTATACAACCACCTGTGTAGGATGTAGAAAGGAGAAGGAAGATAAAAAGGGGCGAATGAATTGGAGGATAAAAATGTATTTAGGAAGCTAACTTTCGTCAGCTTTTCAATACAATATGTTTCCCCTAATTTCTATGCGCACGGTTAAACCAGTGGGCAGAAAAAAATGCATTTCGGTTTTTCGGATACGACAAAAGCGGATTTTAAACTGCGCGATTTTCAATGCCCCGAGTCATATCTGATTTGGCTTCAACCAGCCAGTGCAATACTAACATGCTTAGGTTGTCGACAAGAAAGGAAACCATAAAATTGTTTCGAAAACAAGTCCAAGACTTTTATTAACGCTTCCTTTGTGGTAGTAGTCGGGAACGCATACATATTTTAGTTGTCATTCATATGTTATGATAATGTACTCAGCCTTCCAAGAACCAGCCGGACCCACAAAACATAAATATCCGAAAACCCGTGACATAAGCCTGCCTATTTCATATGTGTGGTGGCGGCCAAAAGCAGGCTGCTTTGCCTGCAAACTATAAAAATGACTCAAGATCCACTAGTTTGTATGACAGATATACTAACTCATTAAATGTTAACCGAAATTCTGAAATGCGTTTTCGACTTAAGTAGGGTTGTAGCATAATTTATGATAATTCAGCTACTTCAGGATGCAAGCTTTTGAACGTAGTTATTTCCGGCAGTCTACAAAATCTACTCTCTGTAAGGCAACAACTACGTATGTAATGTAAATTTTTCTCATTGATTTTCGATGCACATATATATTCAGGTATATTTCATTCAAAACACTGACAAAAATAGTCATTCTTTTGCTCCTTCGGCAGAAAATTACGTCTTCGATTTTTAAAAGCACTTCAAATTCCCAAATTATTTTGAACTCGACCTGCTTGCATCTAGGGCCTCCAAAGTACAAGCTGTATATTTTCCCTCTACGGAAGACCATCGGTTTTTGCACTCGAGGTCCGTAAAATGCAACAGTGAATTTGAGCCATATTGTAAACTTTGTAAGCAACATTAGTAAATGCAGAGACACGTGTTTTATGAACAGGCATTTCGGGTCTTAGAAATCTCATAATCAGAAACTCCTTAAAAACCAAATTATATCCTTTCTCAAGAATGAAATTTGAAGAAGATTTATTCTTCTACCGAAGGAGCAAAAGAATGAACATTTTCTTCCATGTCTTTGATGAACTATACTTGAATACATAAGGGCATCAAAAATCAATGAGCAGAATTCACACTACATACGCCATTGTTCATGTAGAAGTATTTTCAAAAGCCCACACCCTGAAGTAACTGAATTATCAAGTGATCATGCCGCACGATGATTAATATTACGACCCTATATAAGTAATCTTTTTAGTCGAAAACGCATTTCAAAATTGCGATTAACATTTATTGAGTTGATGCATTTACTGTAACAATTGCCTAAAATTTCGTGTCTAGAATTTCTGCATCGGCAGGAACACCAAGGTACTGATAAGAAGACTAATGACTCATCTAATGCATGCAATTTGTTTGTGAATTTTCGTTTGGTTTCTGACGGCCCGCTGTCTGGTCATATGACCGGTACCATCCTTCGCATGCTAGCTACAAAATCTAGGTTTGTTTTGCTTACTTGCCTTTTGCGTATTGTGAGCTAACGTTTGAATGCGTGTTTATGTGTTCACTTTTATATTACGTGATCTCGTGAAATCTCACAATGAAAGCTCGCTTTGCTTGTTTTTAGAGTAAATCTTTCCTTAATAATCACATCTATTATACCAATGTAACATCTCCACTGGAAATTTTGATTCCCGTGTGTCCCGGTCCCACGGCTGTGTTATATGCGTGTCTATTTTATCATTTGCGATTAATAACTAATTTACTGAAACGTAAATTATGAAGAAACTCGAAAGCCTTGAATACTGCTATCTACCTCAGTGAACTTAACTCTTTTTTCGGAAACTATCACTTTTTACATGGATATCTAGCACAGTTGACAGCACATATTGAGGCAACTTTGTCACTTATATTACAGTTTGATCAAAACTCAGTTTTTTATGTTCTTTTTTGCATAAGCGTCGTCTTACCCAGGACTATTGTCTACCCTCTCATTTTAGCAATTACAAACGACGTTGTGCATCGCGTACCCCACAGAATGAACAAAACGTCCTTAAATTTTACGTGAATTAATTTATGGGGATTCAGGCATGTGAAACATCTGTCAAACACCTAACCTTACGTACCTTGTGATGGAGTTGAGGAAATATCAATCCAACTGGAAGTGGGTTTAAGTGTATTTGCCGACAAAAAACGGTTTTTCTGCGCGTACTACCCGCGGCTCGATTCGCACTTTA